TCTCCTTAAAATAACCGGCGCTCGGCACCGCCCCGCCGGAAAGACGCCTGGCCTCGCTACGATGCGAACAGCGAGACGACGAGAATCAAGTCGGCAGCAAACAGTGGCACACGCATCACTATGCGTGACACCTATATCACAATTACAACGCCTCGGACCTCACACTCGGGTCAGCATCCCTGTGGCCAGTGGGACAGAGTGTGTTTTATCCCTTTCATCTGCCCACACCGCAGATACAACACATTTTCTACATTTTGAGCAAATGGGAAGAGTATTTATAACTTTGTTTGAGGTTGGAGGGTTTTTTTTTTTTTTTCTGCTTCTGCTGTGTCACCTCTCCTCTTTAAATGGCTCCATTTTTAGCAGGCGAACATTCAGGATGAAACAAGCAGCGGAACGAAGCAGCGAGCCTGTAAACATTCCCTACTCGTGTCCGGCTCACTTTTCCTCTAATAAAGGCGGTTTCTCTCCATATCTGCTTGGTCTTGTCACAAATTCTCCCTTTTTTTCCCATCATTTCTTGCTTCCGTCACTCTGTGGACTTTGCAGTACATTATTATTATCATTATTATTATTATTATAATTCATGAGTGTTTTGCCTCTTGTTTCCTCTCTGCAGGACAGCTCTGGGATGCGCCTTTGGAAGAGGAAGTGGTTTGTCTTGTCTGATTTCTGCCTTTTCTACTACAAAGGTGAGTCTGTGCAACAAGACCTAGCATGAGCAAAACAGTTTGTTTTTTACACGGTATACAACTATAAAAACATAATAAACTGATGATCAAATAAGTAAGGGGTGTCAATGGAAACCAAAAAATAAAAAAACGTGGTGAAGGAAAAATCTGTAGCTTTAAGCTGGAATTTTAGACAGTATTTCAACTTTGCCAAGTTAGATGGAAAAAAGGAAAGAACAGAGCATAAATACACCAAATTTCCTGTTATTTGTTTAAAAGTAGCAGTCGGAACCAACAGCCAACACGCCTCCGTAAGAAATATGTAATTTCCTTTCTGGAAGCATGCAATCCACTGCAAAAACACAACATCTTACCAAGTACTTTTGATCCAGTTTGAAGAGCAAATATTTAGCTTTGTCTTCAAATAAGACAAAACTAACTTACAAGTAACTTTTTAGCAAGATGTAAGAGCTTGTTTAAGTAAATATTCCTTTAATGTTTATTTTTTAGGAAGTATTAGTTCCAGATTTATTTCACTTCTAACATTTTTCATCTGCCAATCAAGCTAGTTTTTTTTTTTTATCAATATTTAGGATTTTTTTTTTTACTCTAAACAATCTTCTATTTCTTGCTAAAAAGTTTCTTATAAGTTAGTTTTGTCTTATTTCAAGTGTACTGAGATATTTACTCTAGAAACTAGACAATAATTGGTAACATGTTGTGTTCTTGCGGTGTTGCTTTTCTACTTCCCCCAACTTGCTAAAAATGAAAATAGCTAACTTAATCAAAAATTGTCCGATTCCGCGGCCGGTTTCTCTTTAATCCTTCATTCATATTTCTTGATAAAACTATTTATACTCTGATTATCACTTGCCTGCTTGCTGAGATCGGTCATGAAATTTTAAGTTGGAAAACTTTGCAAGTGCAAATGCCTGCGTTTGTCAGTGATTAGTTGTGATGGTACCAACTTGGTCCAGAACTCTGTGCGTCAATCTACATTAAATTAAATTAAAAATAAATAAATAAAAAAAAAACAGTATATATGTCACAAATTTGACTTTGTATGAACTGTGTAGAAAAAGTGCCGACAGCTTGACATGCTCTGATTGTTTTTGTGAAGTGGAACTGACGAAGGAGGCAGTAAATCAGTCTTGGCGTCCTTTAATTGGATTTTTCCTAGTGAAACACATATGTGACAAGAGCTCACACACACACATCACACACACACACATCACACACTAACCGCTGGGCTCTGTCGTTCTTCCTGTCTTAATCCGCCTCTCTGCGCGCTCCTTCGCCATCTCCGTATATTTTTGACTGATCCTTTTGGGAGTCGCCTCGGCAGCGGGGTGGCATCGATTCGCCACAGTTTCAGTTTTGTCTCTTTTCAGTTCAAAGGTTTCTGCTCTCAAAGTGAAAAGTCTTGATCTGGTACGCTCGTCATTTCCTTTCATCTCGTGTGTTCACGAACACAAACGCATGTTGGTCTTTCTATAATGTCGTGGGTACTGGTTTCCATTAGGGCTCTAGATTTCGTTTGTTTTTGCTTTTATTTGTCGCTTTTTAAACAATAAAATACAAGAAAGATCATAAACAGCTAAGTACTTCAATAATTCATAAAGCTGCGGTGTGTAACTTTTATAAAAATTATGTTTTTTTACATATTTGTTGAAACTGTTACTGTGTCGTAACCATATGACATGATGAGACAGATAATCTGTCTTCTCCCAGTGCTCCCAGTTCCATTAGATAACCAATCAGAGCCCGCCTCAAAACAAAACAACAGAAGCAACAAATAAAATGAGTCATGAAGTCTCTGTAAATAAAGTTGCCCTCCAAAGAAAGGGGCTGAAGATTTTTATCATACAGTTTTTGGTAGAAAAAGAGAGAAAAGATGAAAATGATAAATCACACAAATGGAAAGTATTCAGCTTATTTTACGTTATCATGCCAATAACTAATTTATTGCGACAGGCCTCAGTAAGGCCTGTTGCAATCTTTTTGCGACAGGCAAAAAGATTTTTTTTTTGTTTGGTAAAAAGGCAGCTCAAGTAACAGATGAAGCATCATCAGATGGAGCAGAATGTAAAGTTTTATAATTCTAAAATAAAAAAATCAAGCAAAAGAAACATTTGTCCAAGTTAGTTTCTTTCAATAAAAAAAATCTTCTGAAACTTTAACAAACGCAGCAGGTCTGTGAAGTTTCTCACTGTGGGTAGAGGAGCCAGACATCTTACTCAAGTAACAGCAGCAAAAAAAATAGGCTCTTAAAATTAAAAAGTACTCAAGTTATTCAAGTAAATGGAACTAGGTACTAGATAACTCTTAATTTAACTCCGAGTTGATCAGGTTTGCTCCGTGTGTGTGTGTGTGTGTGTGTGTGTGTGTGTGTGTGTGTGTGTAGGGTGGCTCCCACCGTCTCGTCCACCATGTGGGGAATGTGTCCTCCAAACGACCTTGGATTATTTTCAACCCAACTGCCCGTGTAATCTACAGCGTCACCTTATCACCGTCCATCCAAACACTCGGAGATGTGGACATGTGGCATGCGCACATTCCTTCATATCAGCAGTGAATTTTACAATGAAGCAATCATTGAACGCACACGCACGCATGCACACATGCAAACACACACACACCAAACACACACACATGCAAACACACACACACCAAACACACACACATGCAAACACACGTAGTAATTCTCTGAGACGATACCGAGTGGAAAGCCAACATGTACAGAGTTGTAAACATAGAGCGATATTTTTAAAAATGTGAGAACATCTTTCCCCAAGCAACAGCTTTAGGCGTTGAGACAAAAGTTTAGAGTTAAGGTTAAAGGTCAAAGGCTGGAGAAACGCATGTTTGGTGGATGGTTAGCGTTTACTCCGCTGCTCATTTAGGTTCTGGCACATGGAGCGACGGCATGAGAGCGTCGTGTCGCTGGTGGCAGGAGGAGCGTGAAATTAGAGGGTGATGAGTGATACTTATTTTATTGCCCCTTCCTTTCCTCTCTATCTTTATCTCTGTTTTCCCTCACCTACCCCACCCTGATTATCCACTCCCTCACTCACTTTCTCCCTCTCTCTCTCTGCAGACAGCAGAGAGGAGGCGGTCTTGGGCAGTATTCCTCTGCCCAGCTATGTCATTTCACCCGTTGGCCCCGAAGATCACATCAGCCGCAAGTATGCCTTCAAGGTACGCCTCTTTTTGTTGTCAGCACTCTTTCTATGCTGCCTGGTAGTTCTTTTTTTTGTTTTGTTTTGCTCTAATGTGATTGTGTTTTTCTTTTAAAGTTAAGATGAAAATGTTTTGTTGTTTCGTTGTAATAACAATAAGCAGCAATTATTTCTCAGCTCATCATTTCTCTAATGTTCTTCAAGTCGGCTAGCGCACAATTTACTGAATGAAATCATCAAAACTTCAAAAGCGGCGATAAAAAGGAATCGCAGGGTTTCTCTTTCACGTCAACAAGAAGAAATAAACCGTCTTGATGCTGTGCGTCATGACCGCCGGTTGAAAGTGATTCCATCCTGACTGACAGATGTTTTTTTTTCCTCCGACTGGAACCACTTGAGATAAAATGCATGTGCGCTTCCTGCTATTTAAAGCTGAGAAGTTTCCACTGAGTTATTTCTGTCATTTCAGCCTGAGAAGCTCATGCTAAACGACAATACAGCAAATTGCCCTTTATAACCCTTGAACTTTTCCACATGTTGTCATGTTATGATCACAAACCTGGATGTTTTTTATTTGGATTTTAAGTGTGTGGCTTTTGGATCTAGCTTCCTAAAGTCCATGCGCTGTAGAAACACTTTCTGTAATTACAGCAGCAAGTGTTTTAGTGCAGGGGTTCACAAACTTTTCAATTCCCCAAACAGCGTCCATTATCATATTTACTGATATTTATTGATGCTCTCGGTTAGTTAAAACTTTGCAAACTTTGTAGCAACTTTTCAAATTCCTCTTGCCACATTTCTTCTCAAAAAAGTAAATTTGTCTTGTTTTACTGGTATTGTTGGCTTTTAACTTTCAAACAACAAAAATCAAGTTTGGCCAAAATCAGACTGGGGAGGTCAGGCTTTTTTTAAAGAACGACAATGGGCCAGAAAATTGAAATTGATACTTTTCAAATTTTTTTCTTTCCACATTTCAATAAAAACAAGATCTATAGAGTAGATGGTAAGATAAAGTGAAACTCAGGAAGAGTGTATTTACTGACTAGGTGACTTCTGACGGTATTTCATTCCAACATATTATATTTTGAGGTGTTAGGGTAAAGAGGCTTGAATACAAATTGATTTTGTTCCATTTTTATGAACTACTTTCTGTTGTTCTTTCACATAAAATTCAAATATAAAACACTGATGTCCTAATGTGTTAAAATGTGGGGAAAGTTAGGAGGTAAAGACACGTTTGCATGTCTCTGCAACACACGGATAGATAAGCATTTCCATAAAGAGATATTTTTGTGGTTTATCACACAGGTTCACATTTATGTGCATTCATGTGTTTAGTCTATTCTAGTTGTGCTTCACAGATTGGATTATTAATCACATCTTTACCTGCCCCTCCCCCCCACCTGTTGGAGCAGCGTCCATTACAGCCAACTGTCTGTCTGTCAGTGTCTCTGTCGACACCGAACGGCAGGAAGCCTCTCCGCTCCCCGAGGCGCAGCTTTTTCTTTTTACTGTTGTTTGTCTTTACAGTTCAGCCTGACAGCGCTATGAGCAGATGCTCGTTTTTCTACGAATCCATCCAGACTCATGTGGGAGGGTCTACATGTCACGGCTGTTTTTGTTCGAAGGGTGAAAGCCCATAAAAACCAAACGGTTGCCTCAGCCCGAGTTGTTATGACAAGTTGCTGTGGTAACGCCTTGGCACAGAAAGCTCAGAGCCAATCACACCTGCAGCCTTTGCCCCTTGTTCCTAATTAAAGCCTGAGATAAATGGTGTTTTATACTTCTGGCCGGACGGGATCATCTGCTCATCTGTCTGCTGAGTTCTGTTCACGACAAGGCAAACGTGACACAAAACGCTTTTCCACTTTGTGACAGTGTGGAATCTGTTAAGGTTCAATTTTGATCCATTTACATGAACTTTCTAAGGTCCTGAAATGTGGAAACCAAAGGTTTTTAAAGGTGTGCTTTCTTTCTATCATTATATTAAGTTTTCATGTATAATCACTGCAACGAAAGATACAAGTCGTCTGGATTCTTTGGTTCTAAATTGTGTGTGTTTTTTTTTTCTATTTTCTTATAATGTAGGTCAAATATTGGAGAGTTTACTTATTATTTTGGCCTCTCTAGAAAAAATAAAGTATCTTTTTTAGTGTTCTTTTTTCCCAGTAAAGTGACAGTATTGCTGTTTCTCTTCCCCTTTCCTAAAATATATCCAATTTTCTTTTTCAATTTTACCATCTCTTAAAGGTAAAGCTCTCTTAAATCAATCAAATACCTATAAAGTGCTAAAACTGCCTGTTTAATTTCACCTTAACACCCTGAATCCAATAAGTCCAAAGTCTTTCAGGGGACGACAAAATGAAACGGCTGTCTGCTTTGTGAAGCCTGGGTTTCTTTCATTTGGCCTACGAGGTTTTCTGCACGAATCTGGTTCATGTCCACCAAACTCTGCTCAGTTTGAGTTCAGCAGGATTTCCAGACACTCTGATGCTGAAAACAGCAGAAGGGGGTTGGAACGAGGTCGCCATGTTGCACTACAATGAAAAACAAACACATTTGATTGGTTGTATTTGTTGATTAAACTCCATCTCCAGCACATCCACGGTCAGCTGCATATCACACCCTGCTCCCCACACCCCTCCATGCTCCCCCTGCCCCTCTATTTACCGAACCCTCTCCCCTCTCTTGTTGCCGTTGGCCGGCTGCCTGGCTGGGACCTCCCTCCCTCCCTGTGAGTGTGTTGAGCCGTCCAGTGAAAGCCCGCCCATAAATAGGTACTCACTCCACTGCTGTGGTGTCGGCTCTCTCTCTCTCTCTCTCTCTCTCCCTCTCTCTCTCTGGCCAGATGTGACCCTTCCTCATCCCTGTCGCCTGCTGTCGCTGTGGTTTTGTTGGTTATAAATATGGGAGAATATACAACGGCTGCGTATATTCCTGTGTTTTTGATGCATGTCTTCAGAGGAGCGTGTTTGTTTTCGGCTGTTTTATTTGACTGTCTGTGTTATCGCCTTATCTTGATTTCATTTGTCATTGTTATCGTCGTTTGACTCTTTTACCTCACCTTGTCCTGTTGTTACATAATGGATCTTCCTGGTGTTTGTCTGTGTGGCCAGACCACTGTGTTTTTCTTCTGTCAGATCTGCTGCCTGTAACTTGTCACTCAACTTCTCTGGGAAGTAGCAGAAAGGGAAAGAGTAAGAAAGTAAAACTTGAACACAGAATGTTTCGTAGTTCTAAATCTGAACATGAGAAAGCTGTTATATTCTGGAGTTACGCTAATGAGAAACGTCTCTTTTGTTGAGGTTTGATATTTTAGGACTTTGAAAAAATACGGCCTGTATTTATAGAATTTAATTTATATTTAGGTCATATTTATATTACTCAAGATGGTGGCTTAGGTAGACTAAGGGGAGCATTGATGAATAAAAAATCCAGATTGCCCCAACAATGAAATCTTCTAAAACAGAAAATCTGATTAATCGATTAAATCAATTTATCACCCAGGAGATTAAAGAAGAATGACACTTTTTCACATGTGATTTCAATTGTGTTTCTTATTTAAAGAAAACGCAGCGTTTGCAAAATCACGGAGGCTTTTTTCTACACTAGTGGAATAGTGACAAAGTTTTGCGCACCTTTGTGATGGAGACGCAGCTGGAGCGGCTCAGAGAGCGTCAGTCCTCGTCAGTCTCATCGGTTCGGTGTCGCATACAAAACAGTTGGATGTGAAAACTGTTTCCTGTCAAGCAGTTAACTGTCCGACATCCACAGACTGATGTACCTATTTTCTTTTACTTATGTTTACTTTGTTGTTGTCCAAAGTAAACATTCATTCACCACCGTTTTTCGTGGTCATAAAAACAGCACACCAGCAAAAACACGTCATTCCATTGTAATGCAGTAGTGGACAGTGATGATGAGGGCTTGTTTTAACCAGAGCACCAAATACTGAATACCGAAGAACTGTAAAGTCAAATGGGGAGTTGGTCCACTCCAACACCTTAAGCTTGGCCCAAATTGGCTCATTAACAGGACAGCAGAAAAATCCATAACAAAAATGGCTGAAAATAAAATAATCAAGATGCTATCATGGCTAATTAAAACATTCTAAATTAAACTGGGATTAAAATGAATTTTAAAGCGAGAGGAGCAGAAACAAAAGTGAGCAAATATTCCTCCTCCACAATGTGGGCGATGATAAGGTCATACAGAGAACATTATCATCATTATTGCTGCTAAAGGTGCTTCCAAGCGTTTCCATTTTGGCTAACAACGTGGAATCTCTGTGTGTTTTTGCACTCTTGAGCTGAAACATGAATATTTTTTACACACCAGACACTGTTTCCGTGCAGAGCCAAAAACACCAACAAGCTTTCCGTCTAAGTGCTTCCAGTTTAAATCCGGTTTTCGTGGTGGCAGGTTGGGGAGAAGGTAACTTATCCGGAGCTTTGTGGAGCTCTGGCAGCTGTGGGTTATCGGTGAGAACACAAGCGACTCTTTAAATAGCGCCTGGAAAAAAATCGAGAGTTTGTCAGCGGTTGTCCGAAAGCGACGACTGAGCACCATTGTGAGCTTTTGTGTGTGTGTGTGTGTGTGTGTGTGTGTGTGTGTGTGTGTGTGAGAGAGAGAGACGTAAGCGATATTTTCAGGCTGCGGCAGGAGTGGACACGGAAAAAGGCAGGAAGTGATTCAGAGTGGAAAATACTAAACGAAAATAATGAGAGGAAGCGTTTGAAAGGACACAGAGGGTTGAACTGATAAAGGCTTGTTCCTGTGAAAAACGGGGCTCAGAAGAAAAAACGACAGAGAGCGAACGGTGGGATTTTGTTCTCCTTTTTTGTCTCTGCTTCATCAAACACAATTAAACAAAACTGGTGCTGAGGCAGATAATCAGAAACCCGACTTAAAAGTGTCACCAACTCCCACGCGCATCCAAACAGAGCGGCGCGAGCTCTCGGTGTGTGGGTGTGTTAGCCGCGCGCACTCAAAGCTCAACGACCCTCTCAGCGTTCCTGATAAAGGCGGCCACGGACTCGGTTTTTTATTATTAATATTTATTTATTTATCGTCTGCTGAAGGTGTCTGGCGCATGTGCCTGTTTTTTGACTGTGTTTTTGTTTTTTTAGTACTTTTGTTTCTTCCTCCGTGTTAAAGTCGAAGCACATTCAGAGCTGAGGTCAGGTTAGGGCGTTTAAAAAGTTACATGTGCAACATTTTACAGTACAAATATCCGTTCATGCCTCTGTACAGCGGTGCTGCACGTGTGAAAACATCTGACTTTTCGCCCGGTCTTCTGTCTCGGTAGCTATAAGAGGCCATCTGTCGGGGAGCTGATGGAGAGTCAGGAGGCGCGCTTTGACAGCTGTTTCCTCAGGATGCTCTTTTGCTTTCCTTGAAATGTTTAGTTTATTTTTGGTGTTTGAGACGTAATTTCTAACCAGCCTCCTTCCCATTCCTCTGCCTTCTGATCTAACTTAATATGCCTCGGCTTCTGGAGATAACAAGCCCTAATGTGATTCGTACTATTGGTGCTTTTTATCCGGGCAGCATCCTGATGTTTTCAGACATCTGTTTTAGCCAAACAATCTGAAATGTTGGGCCCATACATAGAAAAGAGGCCTGCAATAAAAAGCAGTTCTATTGAAATGGCTTTGAAATTATAGAAAAACACCAATGTTGTAGAAATTGCCTACAACTGTCTTTGGTACAAACACCAAAATAGTATGTTGACAAAAGGGTAGATATAGAGATCTCATATTAAATAACTTCCTTTTTAATTTTCAAGGAATAAAAAGTGAGTTAGTTTTTTAGTTGTTTTTTTTTTATTTTATAAAATACACTTCACAGATTATAAAGATGTGTTTTTATAAAGTGCCTCCAAAATACATTCTTAAAACTTTGGATGTTTTGCCCTTTTTTACGTCAAGAAATAAATTTTTAAAAGTCTTTTTTTTATTGATTGATTTTTTTTTTGGGGGGGTAGAGGGAGTTGGCAAAACATTTACAAAAAACACCCCGTGTCAATGTGAAAACTGATTTCCACAAATAAAAAAATAAACAAAAATAACAATAAAATAAAATAAATATTTCACATAAAATAAGTAGATTGCATAAATATTCACCCAAGTCAGTAGTAGATGAACCTTTGGCTGACTGAAGAAACAGTCAAAAACATAAAAATAGGAGCATATCACGCATCCCTAAAATATTTTAAATTAGCATATCTAAAATGATGGTCTTAAATTTATTTTAAAAATTTAAGTTAGCCTTAAATATGTTAATCACAGGTCTTAAATTTTGATCATTTAAACTCTTTTCTATCAGACTAAAGTTTGAGTCATGCTCAGATGTCTTTGTTGCCTTTGAGGCGGTTGAGGCTACTGCTAACTAGCTGCTAATGTGCATGCTTTTGCTAGCTAAGTTTTTTTTTTTGCGTCTGTCATGGGTAAGTTCAAATGTATTGACAGTTGGCTATCAATACATTTGAACAAGCAGCTGTTCAAATTGTGGCTTTGCAATGGCTAATTTCCAGTAGCAATAGAAATTAGCTATTGGCTAATTTCCATTTGCCAACCCATAAGATGCTAAGGTGAATTCTGTGTAAAAAAAAACGTACAACTAAGATGGTGAATACTGTAGATTTGTGTACATTTCTGTAAATTTGTGTCGTGAAACTGGTCTTAAATTTCATTCATAAAGGTCTTTAAAAGGTCTTTAGATTTATCTTTCAAATGCAGGTTTTCACATAACCTGTCAGGGATGATGTATAAATGAGCTTCAAAAATAACAATCATCAGACAAAGACAAGATATTAAATCCTACCTTTGCCCAGTTTTAATTGTCAGTGCGTGGATGTGAAGCCTACCTGAACACCCTGACAGAGCAGGCGTGCTTTTCCAGGTTATCCAGTCCCGGTTGGGTCGATCCAGCAGCGCAATCAGCTCCAAAACATCATGAAGTGTCGGGTTCAGAGCCCGTGTTTTGGGCATGCTGAGCCAGAGAGCTTTATATCGAAGCGTTTTTCTCTCGTAATCAGGGCTAAGTTTGCGTGAGCGGCCGGGGCAGCTGCTCTGTAAGAAGTGGACGTGAACGAGCACGGCGCTCGCATGCGCGTTTGTCGGCTCCTTTGCCAGGGTTTATTTAGAGTTTACAGTAACACAGCAGGGGCGACAGTCTGCTTTATCCACCAGTGTTTGGTGTGTACGTTAAAAGCGTCCGTGTGGGCGTAATGTTCGGCATGGTTGCTCACTGAAAGACGAGAAAGCCAAGCTGCTGAAACGCGCTCGTCTTCTAATCTGAACCGGAGAACAGAGAAAATGTCTGTACTGCAGCCAAAGTGGATCCAAACGCTGTACAACTCCCCCGCTGTCCTGCATTCATTATTCAGAGAAGGAATTAGAGTACGGGAGATTCTATGTTTAATTACTTTTCATTTACATGCATCTGTTCTCGAGAGAGGACTCTCGTTTGTCTGCTGGTCTCAGCGGCCGAGACGGTGGAGGACGGAAGGAAGGAAGGAAAAGGGAAAGTGGATTATTTAAAAAGCTAGGCTCAGTGAAGTGCAGCCCGGCTTCTAAGGGGAACTAATAACCCCACATTTACAACAAAGACCTATTTATCAAGGATACAAAGCACTTAGTGACTATTAATTAATCAGCAGCTGTTACACAGAAGGTCTTCCTTAAATTTCCGACTGGTTCTGCTTGTTTTGTGCCGTGTTTCTCGTGTTCCTGAAGTTAGTTAGAAGTAGACAGGCATCACGTCGAGTGGTGAAGCTGGAATATTCTCAGCCTGTAATCAATTCTTAATGGATTTTCAATCAGAAAGCTTCTTGGTATCCACCTCTTGAGGCTCCTCTCTGGACTTGGCACAGTGACCTACGGGGAGGCTGCAGATCTCTTTTGAAGAGCTGGTTGCCACGGCAGCCGTAAACACTCCCGATTTTCAAAAAAGAAGATTTCTCAACACCCTCCCCTGCTTTCCATCTCTATTCGGTGCTGCGTTGTCTGTTTTTTTTTTATTTTCCTGCCGTTTCCACCTACACAACCGGAGTAGCTTTTGCAAAACAGTTTCTTCTTGTGGGTTTCTCAGTTGTGCAATAGCCTGGGAGATAAAAGAGATGGCTCTGAACCCAGAGCTGCAAGAAATAATTCTTTGGAGCCACTTGGGACAATGGAGGAAAAGACGGGAGGAATACTGTAACATTTAGCACCGCCAAAAGCGACGTGTCGCTTATTCACAAAATAGGTGTGGATGTGAGACAGAACAACATCCATTTACAGATGTAGCACTGCGCAAAATAATTCATATCCCTTGAATATTTTCACATTACAATTATAAATGCATTATTCTAGAGAAGGAAACAAAAGGAAAATCCTGTACAACTGATGGATATGCCACTAAAAGTTTGCTAGAGAGCATTAGTGAACAAATAGCATTGTGAAGATAAACACCATCCATCATCCATAACGTCAAACCCACCAAAGCCATCCGTCTAAATGGTAAGACTCAGTAAGGAGAGCATTTAATCAGAGAAGGAACCAAGTTGCCCATGGATACGGTGGCCCAGAGGGGACAATGAAAAAATTCACAGCACAGCTGCAAAAGCTACAAGATAACAGTGAAACCCGCGCCGTGTTCAGAACAACGCAGCCTTAGTATAATTTCTGTTTATTCTGAAACAGAAATTATGCTAAATCGGAAGTGATGCTAAATTTGTTAGCATCTCTTCTGTCAGATCATAACTTCCGCATTGGTTTTTTGTTGTTGTGTTGTCGTTTTTATTAGTTGCATTGTGATTTTTGATTTTTTGTTGTTAGTTTGTGACTGGTTATGTTGTGACTTCAGTTATTTTGTTGACTTTTGTTGTGTTGCGGCATCAGTTACTTAATAGCAAGTTGGTTTTGTGATGCAGCTTTTTGTTTGTGGCTTCTTCTTGTTGCATTGTGACATTTGTTATTATGGTATTTGTTGTTACTTTGTGACTTGTTTTTTTTTGCGATGCAGCTTTTTCTTTGTGACATTTTCTTGTTGTGTTGTAACTTTTTGTTGCGTTGAAACTTTTTGCTGTTATGTTGGCCTTTATTGTTTTTCTTGTGACTTTTGCATTTTGTTGACCTATCTGGGCCTCCGTACATGGTGAATTCATTGGCACTCCAGACATCCACGTCAGGAGGGAGAGTCTCTCAATTCAACAATTATTGCACAAATCTAAAGTCAGTGGAGAAGTGAAGCTAATGTTGAACAGAAGTTAGTAGAGGTTCTTAAATGTGGGAATGAGGTCTTACTGTCAGACGAGACCAAAAATGTAACTTTGTAATTAGATACAAAACATTAGGTCTGGAGAAAACTAAAACAGCAAATCACTCTTTCTACACTTTTCCCCTTTTGAAACACAGCAGCTGAGGCTCCAAACGTCTTGAGACGAGGGCAGACCTTTTCCTCCCGGTAGGAAGGCAAACGAAGGTCTTTCCTCCATCTCACAATGAGCCGAACACAAGAACACCTTGGTGTCTTTAACACCACCACGAAGCTTGTGGTCTCTCTACCCTTTTTGTTCTTCTTGTTGGTTCATTAAACTACAAGAAATGCAGTCTCTTTTCTCTTTTAGGAGCTATCGTTGTTCATGTCATTAGTTATTCTAAAAGACGTCTTCCAGGCATCTCATGATCCAACGCTGTAGCAGCTTTTACATCTGTAAAGTAGGTGTCTAAGTGAAAAGACCTCAAGGTAAACAATTTAAAAGGATAATTTGTGTTAAGCCTTCATTATTTCCCATTTCCCATCATATCAATGTATCCTTCCTTATGCTGGTGAAGGTTGTGGCCGTTGTTGAACCCAAGTGCCTGATATTTATGTCTGTGCCACCGTACTGTGTGATTTCTCCCTCTCTGCATTGGTCAGTGCCTGCGTCGCCATTGATGTTTTCTCCCCACCCCGCCATGGGACAGCATGCTGCCCTCTCTCTTCGACCCCATGCACTGTTGTCCAGATGACCTCTGTTTTCCTGCAGCCAATCTGACCTGGCCTCTGCTCTTTTCCTCTAGGCTAGCCACACCGGTATGCGTTCATACATTTACAAGCAGAGCTCTGTGATTGGCTCACAGGCAGAGCACACTGGCATGCGGACGTATTACTTCAGCACTGACACCCAGGAGGACATGAGCACCTGGCTGAAGGCCATGAACCAGGCATCGCTGATGCAGAACCACCCCGACAGCCTCAGGTAAGCCCTCACACCCGAAACCTTACAGCACGCATTGCCAGAGGAGTTTGGTTCTCACATGAGATCCGTTTCTACTTTGGTATTAACGTATATGGCAAAGAGAAGATATTCATTTATGTCAACACCATATATAGCTTTTAGCAGAGATTCAAAAACGTTTCCATGACTCCCCCAAACAGCATCAATCAGCTTCTGTCCGAGGACCCACTTCGAAAACCAACACAGAGTTCTACAAAATATGTAGAAAAACATCAACTTTCAATGTTTTTTTTTTTTTTCAATTTTATTCACTATTGAATAATTATTGCATTTGTTAAGCATAATCTTCTCATACCTTCTGATCTAAGTTGGCCATGATGTCTCTTTCTAGTCAGAAACGTTTTGCACCATTTTGCATTTGCTAGCTATGCTAGCTACAGTTGGTTGAAGAGCAAAGCAGCTTAAAAATCAGAAAAATTAGCATGGCAAATAACATTTCAAGAAATTATTTACATTTTGTAATAATGATTGGAAAAACAGACTAGATTTTTGATCAAATTTGTGTTTAATTAAAAATGATTAGATTTGATTTTTTTCTCATCTTCCCTTTAGCTTTCTGAGGCTCTCCTAGCGCCCCCTGGTGGTCCTCTACTTTAAAAACACACTGTTTTGTAGGACCACCGTTATCAGCAATATCCTCTTACTCAGACTGTCAATTTTGAATTCTAAGAAAGGTCAAAGGTCACAAAAAACTTACTATGAGTAAATCCCTCTTTATTATGACATATTAACTATATGAACTCAAATACTTCATATATTGTGCTATTGTGTTATATAGTGCTTTTCTTTACAAACTAAACACTGACATCAAAGTAACTAATATAAATTGTACATGTATCCAGAAATCATCGTAACCCAATGTGAAAGATGTGAGTATTTGCTTTCAGCAGGGGCTGAAACCTTGACCCCTATCAGACTTATTTTTATTTTTACCAAAATTTAAAATAATTTTTCCAGAATTCCAAGGTTTGTTTTTTCTTGACTCCCCTGGTTTTGCTTCTGATGAGGGAATACTGCGCTGTTATTATCACAATCAATTAAACTATTTTTTGGACAGTTTTTTTATTTTTTTATTTTGTTTTAATGTTGGGAATAAAAGATATAAACATTTATCACAATATTTAGTGGTTTTTGTCATAATAATGATGAAAGTGATGAATGCATTAAAAATTCATGAGTCTTTATGGTGACATCTGCCACAGCATAAAGCCAGAGGTTCACACACAGAAACACTGCTCCAAAAATCAAGATATGCTCATTAACGATGGGCCACATAACACAGTTTGTCTGCCAAATTAATTAGTGCAACTGATCCACTAAATATTTGGAGTTTGAAAACATGAATTTATGATGATAAATCTAATATTTTTCCCCTGATAACAATAAAGGATGTGATAGTTACCTACCACAGTTATTTATACTGTGGCTCTTTGAGTTTGTCAAGTTTATGTATTCTTTAGCACATTTAGCAACAACACAGTTCAAAGTTTGTTACACCATAAAAATATAATACAGCACCAAGCACCAAACATTACATTTTGTCAAATGCCATCATTAAAATCATCAAAAATAATCATCAAACATATTCATTAATGTTCCAGTTATTATTAATCAAAAGCAACTCTAAACACGTGGAGTGTTAGCCTTGATTTAACGGAGTTCAGTGTTTCGGCTGTTTTGGAGTTTTCTGAAAGTTTGTTCCAGGTTTGTGGAGCATAAAAACTGACAATCACTAACTTCTACTCAGAGTGGACAGCTGTCACATGTGGGGTTCCCCAAGGTTCAATCCTGGGGCCCCTCTTATTTAATATCTACATGTTCCCACTAGCTCGGGTTCTAATAAGTAACAACTCAAGGTTTCTACCACAGCGCTTTTGTGTTGAAAAATGTTAAAAGTTCAAAAATGTGGAGGTCCATGAGCAGGCGTCATAATCTGGACAAAATGGCATGTGAGGCAGCTGCAGGGATGATGCAATCGGTGCGCATCACCTTGCACGCAGTTTAATGCGTCAACTATAAACCTAGCTTAATTCATCTTTACCGTCATTGTTAATGGTGTACAAACAACCCTTTAGGTCCATATTACCTCTGGACCTAAAGCAAAACAATCAAGAAACATCATGCAGCTTCAGTTATCGCAGCTATAAACTAGGTCTGTAATGTGTTCTGGTGCTAAGAACATTAAGTGATTTATAAACTAACATTTTAAAGTCTATTCTCTGATCTATTTGACTTTATGCTTCTGTCTGCCTTTAAACTCACCACTTCCCTTTAAGTATTCAGCCTCCCATCGAAATGAATATCGGAGATCGCCGTGTTCATCAGCCTTTGATAACATGTATGACATCTTGGTTTCTCTCTCTGGCCGACTGCTCTGGGTTGCTTGAGCGTCCGCTCCGTGCGCAGCGTGTTTGTTTTTGTGCTTTGAGACATCACGTTCAGACGACGGCGTTTTTGAACCATCGGCGGCTCCCTTCATGTGTTATTAATGCGTTGACGATGGGAGGTAGCGCAGATCAAATACGTGCGGTCCCTCACTGGCAGGCTCAGACGCTGCCCAACGCCCCCTCCCTCACACACTCCCGTCCTTTCTCATTACGCCGTTCTTACGAGAGGAAATCCCACAACGCACCGCTGCCTGCTTCTGAATGACAGAAAGAAAACTGAGCCTCCGACAGCTTCCAACCGGGAGTTCTCTGAACTTTCTGCTAAAGCTCCCCTCCTTTCCGGTTTGTTTGCCTGCGGAAGCCGTGACAGCAGCACTAAAACCGCCTGGCACATTGCACTTTGTTGTTGTTAAAATTTTCGGTTGTAGCGTTTATTTTTCATGAGTATTGACAGGATGCAAAGGGAGTACCAAAAGTACTTTGAAACTAGCATCAAATGGGGTCAAAGCAGTCGCCAGTGTGCCCGTTTTACTGAATTATTTTTAGATAGTAGCTGCCGGGAAGGAGAATCTTGGCACCATAGGCTTTCCTATTATTATGCAAGGTTTTTCTTTCATGACAGAAACCTGAATATTTTGCAAGGCTTTTTCACGTTGGACTTAATTAATGAGTTTCAAATCAGCTTCTGCCTTTAAGGCTTTGCTTGTCAGCTGCGATGCTTTAAAAAAAAGTAAAAAGAAAGAAATAAAAAAAAGATCTGCACAGTGTATTTAGTTCTGTCCTTAAAGTAGAAGATGAGGCTTAAAATTTCTCTTTTATGTGACAGCCATCTACTTTAGATTCTGTTCAGGACAAAAGAACAAAGATCTAAACTCTCAGAACATGGGAATACGATGTTCTGGAGATCAAATGACTTTAATGAGCTTATTATTTAGTGAGCAATTAGGTATAAATGACTTTTTTTGAGCAAATTAGCCAGAGAATATCTTTAGTTTTTTTTGTTTTTATCACTAGCGGCACCTTGCTGCAAGTATTCATGCCCCTTCAACTCTTCCACATGTTAACCAAAACTGTAAACAGACCAAAAGAATCTGAAGCAAAATTATGAACACGTTTCCAAGCAAAAATCTGAAAAGTATGATGTGTGTTTGACTTTATGCACCTTTATTCCAACACCCCTAAAGAAATTATATTTAAAAAGAATATATGTTCACGAAAATTCATGCAAATCCAACAGAATCCTGCAGTTTTTGTTGCTTTTGCAGACTTATGAGTTTATTGCAAATTTTCTGCAAAAGTTGTCAACAAAAACATTGAGTGCAACTCACCGACTCCCACCTGCAGGAGGCAGTGTTTCTTACTTCTGCGGCCTGAACCTTATTAATATCAATAACTTGATACTGAACAGGTTATGGTCTGTGGCGAGTCTCAACAATCAAAACTATTAAAGAATTTAAAGAAATGTTTGGTGTCATTTTGCTCATCTTTTTTTCTTTGATATGTAGATTCCAGATTTCTACGTATTTTGATGAGGAAACAATATATTTCTAAAGTAGTGTCACAAAATCAGTGATTTGATGGCAAAAAAAGAATCATCAAACTACATGAAAACCATGGATAGCAGCAGACGGGTCAGGGAGAAGTTTGTAGAGAATTTTAAAGCATCTGTAGATTATGCAGCAATATCTCAAACTTTGAAAATCTGCGTCATAAAGGTGTGTGATACCATGGAAATACAGAGCCCATATCGCCGACGCTAACGCCAATACTTCTTATTTCAGTTTGACATATCATCAAACCTCTGAGCTTTGGGTATTTTTTTAGAGTTTCATTGAATTATTTAACATTCCCTGTCCGTGGGTCTCCTTCTCTCCAGACCCGTTGACCAAGTCACCTCGTTGTTGCAACAAGCTGTCCCGCAGACAAACCACGTGAATCACCAGAAGATGAAGACCGTAGACTCTGAGACCACAAAAGCAATCGTCCACGAAGTTCTGCTGGAGCCCATCCATCGTAACACAGAGGAGCTCTACAGCTTTCACCAGGACGCCGGCAACGTCACCCTGGACCGCCACGCGGGGACCGCCTCTTTGGAGACGGACAAACAGAGCCCCCTTACATCCAGACCGCCAGCCGCCTCCGCCCTCCCGCTGTCGGACCGCGCGTCCGCCTCTGCTCCCGTGTCCAGGGTGACGTCCCGCGCTCCGTCCCGCTCTGCCTCGACGTTGCCCTCCAGCCTTTGCACGAGGAATGGCCTGGTGTCCACGCCCAGCCCCATCCTGGAGCCCAACGGCATCGCGGCGGGGACGTACCAGAGAGCGCCGGAGCCGGCAGCCTCCGACACATTCAAGCATCTGCAGAGGAGAAACACTCTGGAGCAGGTGGAGCAGTGGGTCAAAGTTCAGAAGACTGAGCAAAGGGGGTAGGTCAATATTGTTCACTTTGCATAAAAACTTTCTGATTTTAGTCACTTGATTTTCAGCTGTAAAAAATGTTGCTTCTTTGAAATGGAACTTCACTCTTGATGATCTGGTGATGAACATCTTCCCTCTGGGTCCTTGCTACCAGCCTTTGATACCATCCGTGCACGTTTGTCGTAGAAATGCAGCTACTGACTCTTCTAACTTTCAGATCACAACTCAAAGCTTACAGCCTTTCCAGTCTAACTTTTTATTTACATTGCTTTTATTTTCACTTTATGTTATAAATTGTTCCTGGGTGTCTTGAAAGACACTAGAGATTCAGAGATTCTCGTAATGGTAATTATTGTGTTGATTTCCGTCGTATTCTTCTTCAACAGCCCTCCCTCCAGAGAAAACACCCTTCCCCGTCGGACGCCGCCCACGCAGCACAAGTACACCTCCATGGATGCCTTTCAGACTTTGCCAAAAACTCCGCGCCACAGCCCCCCGTCGGGTCGACTCGGCGAGTACAAGTACGCCCAGGACCGCCTGAGTCACTTCCGCCTCACCCCAGACCAGGGGGGCCCGGGGTCCAACACCGTGCTGCAGCTGTACGAGTGGCAGCAGCGCCAGCAGTTCCGCCACGGCAGCCCCACGGCGCCGATCTACACCCCGGCCCCGGATTACCCGTTCGGGCCCCGCCCTCCGTCCACCGTGCCGCCCTCCTCCTCATTGCGCAGGTCGGAGGGGTCTCCTCGCTGCGTGTCGGTGCCGCCGTCGGCCGCAGACATCCCGCCACCGGGACCTCCGCCAGGCACTAGCAGGACGCTGTCCCCCAACCGAAGGCCGCACACTCCCGCCGAACGGGTGACCGTAAGGCCCGCTGGGGACGGGCCCCTGCTGAACGTCCCCTTCACCGTGTCCCCCCGCAGGAGCAAGTCTCAGATGCTGAAGGTAAGAATAATACTCAACAGAATCAGAACAACCTTCTTCTACATTACTGCATTTTTATGAGTTTATCCTCCAATAAGACGGTCAGCAGTGGTTCAGAAGTGTTCGATTCTGTTTTCATGTGTCCTAGAAGAAAATGTCACAGCTTTAGAACAGTGAAATCCAACTATTCCTTGGAATATAAATTTATATAAAAGTATAATATTAATATAGACGTTACATACTGCAATTAAACCTGACTGTAACAGTATCTATTCTGAGTCTGTAGCTCCAGCTCACCCAGACCAACACGGATGTCTGTGTTGCAGGCTGCCACTATTGAGAGACGCTCGATGCCTCCAACTGGCTACATCACTCACACAGTCAGCGCTCCCAGCCTTCATGGCAAGACGGTACGTTTAATAACTGCATTCACTTCTGATGCACACGATGCCAAAACCTTTAAGATTTCAGGCTCTGCTTTGTGGAGCTCCTCGGTTCTGCCAGCGGAGGGTTTTAGCGACCGTTTGTGGATTCATTTCCTGGTCAGTTGGTTGTTGATCAGAGAACTGTGAAGTCCACTTTATGTGTAGCAGATTTTTGTTTCAGCCTCTTTAATCTTTAATTAAGCTGCAGTTCTGCTTGTCCAGATCAGCGAAGAGTCACACAACACATTGCACTGCAAAAACCCAACATCTTACTAAGTATTTTTGGTCCAGTTTCTACTGCAAATATCTTGGCGCGCTTGAAATAAGATGCTAACTATTAAGAAAGAGCAATAGCAATAATCCATAAGGTGGGACATTTAGAAAGCATTAACACCTTATTTGTGAAATCCAAATTATGAGTTTTTTGACCTGGTGAAATGACACAAAGCCAAAAACAAGCAATTTTTGGAAAACATTCAACAATTGTTTAAGACTAAAGAGCATATTTATAAGTTAAAGAAGGTAATGTAGACATTACATACATCTATATTACAGTTTAAAATATGCAAATTCAGATCTACTAGAAAAAACTTGAATCATTCAATATTGAACTTAGACCAAACAGTTCAAATTATCAGATAAATATATGGTTATTGCTGGATATAATATATAATATTATTAGTGAATTGTTGCTGGTGTTTTTGTTATTAATGTTAGTTTTGTTTTTTGGTGAAATTTAAAGGAATAGTCATTGTTCATCTGCTATGTTTAAAATTAGATGCTATATTGATGCGTTTACTATTAGATACTGGTTTAGTTGTTACATGTATGAATTATATGTTAATGTAGATGGTTAAGGAGGGGGAATTTTGATAAGTTTATACTTCTACCAACTTCCTTGAATTTGTAAAACAAAAGCTTTTACGTTAAGCTTCATGCTGTATTTTTTTGTACATATTCAAGAAATAAACAAGTAACTTTTCAGCCAGATATACAAGCTTGTTTTAATAATTCCTCAATATTGATGAAAAAGTAATAGTTATTAGAGAAACAAGCTGCCATTGTAATAAGACATTTTAACGTGACATTTGCAGTAGAATCTAGACCAAAAACACTTGGTAAGATTTTGTGTTTTTGCGTTGTAGCGCAGTGACAGTGAAGGTATTGAAGAGCTGAGTGGGTTTTTGTTCAGCATGTGAGGTCAGTGTTGAGAGCTGCCAGACTGAATATCTTGCGGTGCCTCCTGACAGCCGGAGGAGCTCACTCTGCTCCTCATTCAGCTGCGCCGCCACCAGGCCAAGATGGCCGCTGTGCGTCAGCAGACCTTAGCTCAGATCCAGCGGCTGAGCGCTCCCAGAGAGTCCTGCCACCAAAACCGCCTCCTCACCACTGTCGCCGCTAGCGACAGCCCCCTCCTCCTCAGCGCCACCGCGTCTCCTGAGTCGCACCTCGGAGATGTCGGCCCCTGCAGCGTCCAGGTGGGGCCCCGAGAGGCATGGCTACTCCTCCCTCATGTTACCAGGAGCTGGTAGAGGCTGCCACTAAATCTTCACTAGAGGTTTTCTAACATTAAAATTATACATATAAAAGAAAGAACTTTGACCTTTGACAATTTGTTACTTTTTTTGCAACATACATCATCAGATTTTATTCATTATAATATTTTAATTTTATTGTATTGACAAAGCTTTACATCTGTAAATGTCTAAAGCTGGTAGAAACACCACAAAGTAAATGAAATCCAGTTTGAAATTACTACTTTTTGCTGTTGTTTTACATAAAATCCTAATAAAATGTGTCAATCTTTGTGGTGGGAACACTTCCGCTAATGCGCTAAGGGCAGAGCTAATTTTCTGTTTCACGCTTTTGCTAACTTTGAAAACATTTAGCACACTTAGCTTCCCCTAAAATAAATTTTCCGGATAAACTCTAAAGCGGTAATTTACTTGGTTGTTTTGTAACATTTCGGGTGAATAAAGTTCAACATCTTTGTTGAAGTTTTGGTTCTCGTCTCGTAGGAATTGTTCGAGCTGTTAGCCATTTATATTCACCTCTTATTTTGAAGTTGGTGAAGACTGTTTACTCAGCAGTTTTGTTTTCTCTTCAGGTCTACAGGTCTGATATATTTTGAATTGAAGTTAGCGCTTTAGCATTAGCTTTCACTAAATACCGTGTTGGTGTAGTGCTTAGATATTACACCAACTCTACAGCATATTGCTGCTAATACTAGCGATTTAGCATTAGCTTCTACTAAACACTGTGTAGATAAAGCACTTAAGCATTACACCACAGCTAACTTGTTGCTAATATTGGTGCTTTAGCATTAGCTTCCACCAAATACCATGTCGGTGTAGCACTTTAGCATTAGCGGACCTACCGTTTATGATTAGTGATTTAAGGTTAGCACAACTAACTGTTTAACTAGCGATGGCCACCACTGGTGGTAACATAACATTTTTTGCCAGTCACTGTGTAACATCAATAAAGAATGCCGTCTATACCTGGACTACATGACCAAGCAGCAGCCTACTTTAAGCAGTGGCAGCCTCTACCAGATCACTCCCCTCCTCACAGAGCGCTGGTCTGGCTGCAGAGACCCATCCACCTCTTTACCATCTGCTGCTCTTTGGCTGATCCGTCTTCATATCGTGCTTCTACCGATGTCGTCTGTAGCATGATGTGTTGCGATCCCTTTGACGTCCACAAAGCCATCCCATGCTTCAAGCGAGCCGTTTGGCCGGTCCTGATTACGTGTCTTGGTGCTGCGTGGCGTTCCTTTCGGTCCTCGTCATGAAGCTTGTTTTGATGTTGCCTGTCTGTGAGATGAGTTCACGGCTCCTTCTGACGGAGCTGGTTGCTCTTTTTTTTATCTGTTGTGGACAGCGTGTTTAACTGGATCTCAAATCAAAACGAGTGTAAGACGTTTTTCAGTGTGGGTGCAACTTTGTCATTCTGCATGTCATCAGGAAGTCTGTGGTTGATGCTCGGGGTGCACCGATCGATTTCATTCATTTTGGGCGATCTGTTTACTTCCGCACAGATATGAAAATCAGTCACTGTCCCTTCTTGTGAAAGAAGGCTGGCGATCGGCCTGAAAACTGCAGTCGGTGCACCTCTAGTTGATGCTTCTGTAGAAGAGTGAGACTGCACATTGTTGGGTTTGTTTCTGAATCGGATGGTTTTCACCCTCCAGGCCGATGACACGTACATGCAGCTGAAGAAGGACCTGGAATATCTGGACCTAAAGGTGAGAAAACAAATTGCACAGTTCAGTCTGTTGTATTTTCTCTGATTTGAAAAGCCTCACACTCAGACTAACACGCCGGTCTCTGTTACTGACTGCACCCTTCTGTTCTACGCCCGACCCTGAACGGTTGACCCAAAACATTCCATCTGTAGCTCCAGATTATTTAAGAGTGGTGTTCCTCCCAATCGCTTGACCTGCTGTTAGAAGCGGCCGCCATGTTGTGACTGCGGCTCTTGTGTCTCTGTGATTTCTGACTCCCAGATCAGAGCTCTAGAGCCGCTGATCCTCGCAGTTCACAGTTTACTACTGCACTGCACTGCTGGGCCACTCAGGCCTTTAATGAACGTAAGCTCTATTTGTATGTAGCTACGTGTCTCTGTGTCCGCTAAATGTTCTCCAACGTAGCGTGTGTGTATGTGTGTGTGTGTGTGTGTGTGTGTGTGTGTGTGTGTGTGTGTGTGTGTGTGTGTGTGTGTGTGTGTGTGTGTGTGTGTGTGTGTGTGTGTGTCTCTGCTTGTGCATGTTTGTGCCGTGGCGAGAGCAGGGAGGTTTCTGTGTTGTGCTCTATAGTAAGACCATCCCATCGCTTTGCAGCGCTGCATTCACAGCTCAGACAGCATCGTGACTCCATACCTCCCCTCCACTGTGTGGCGATGTTGGCCAGGCTGTTGAGTACTGGGCATGGGATGGCTCGGCAGTGCATGTGTTGTGGCTGTGGCTGTGACCCGGTGGTTGAAAAGCCAGCTGCTTCTACCATCGCCTCTGAAACACTGCACCTCCCTCACACATTGTTTTAATCCTCGACTAAATAAAAATGGATCTGTCATTGATTTTTGGCAATAACCTAATTGTTAAAACTGATATTTACAAGTAGGTTCAATTTCTTTTTTAATGTGTGGTTCTGTTGAGAGGTTACGAGCTGTTACTATCTTACTTGCACTTACGTGAAGATGTTTACATTGCCATAACAGTAAGTAGCAAAAAAATTGCTTTTATTTTGAGCAGAAAACCAACAAGAAGTGAGTGTACTTCCGCTAAATAATGTAGTAGTTTTCTAGAATGTTACACAAACTCTTAAATAATTTTGCTATCCAATTATTAATTGAAAAAATAGCGCTGTATTGACAAGTTGAGTGGAAAGAGCGAGGATCTTCACATTGCTGCATCATTTGCTACACATGATCAAACGTTCACTAAAGGAACGATGCTTTAGTGTCACATAAAAAAACTGTTTATTTTATGTTAAAAAGGGAATTGAATTCTATATTTATTTGCATTTTGTTATGCATTTCTAATATTGCATAAAAGTCACTTAGATGGTAAGTGAAACATCAGCAGAATGTGCCAACTTTTTTACCCAATTAATCAATTAATCGTCAGAATAAATCAATAAAATAATCAATTAATAAAATAATCATTTGTAGCCCTACTACATTATGTTCAAAGAGGCGATGCCTTCTCCAGACAACCCTTGCAAACAAGTTAAACTTGTTCCGATTTTTTTTTTCTTCAAACTTCATATTATATTTGAGACCTGTAGTTTCAAGTTTCTTGCAGTTTTCCTGGCCATTACCCCATCTGACACTGGCCTGAGTCCACTGACACCTCCACTCCGGAAAAGATTGGCAGCTGTCTTAAATGTTTTCCGTTTGTAAATAGTTTTTTCCCTTTGTAAAATATTGGGTTTCAGATTGTTTGGAAATGGCCTTAAAACCGCTCCCAGATTGATGGACAGCCACAGTTGCAGGACGTCGCAGATGCCTTCTTCTTGGCATTTTAATAACACCCTCCTGTTTGCTGTACCACAACAATCGCCCCAACTTCCTGCTTTAATAGTCGGGCTGAAATGATTAATTGGATTAATCGTGATGAATCGATTATTGAAATAATCCTCAACTAATTTAATAATCGATTAATCGCTAACTGGAGTATACAAAAAAAGACAAATTGTTGAAAGAACAACATATTAAGAGCAGTAATTAAGCCAAAAATGTACAAAATATAAACATTTTGCATTTAAACTAAAGAAAAGCTTTGTGAATATGTTCAACATAAATACCTCTAGTGGCATGGTTTTAGCTTCACTTGTTTCAAATGCTGTAAAATAATAAAGAATTTAACACCTTTTGCTGTCCAATTATTAATTGTGACATTAAGTTAATCAGAAAGGGTTGAGTTTTTCACATGTTGATGTTAGAAGGATTTCTTTAGCAGCAGAGGCACTGATGGTCCAGTGTATGCTAAAGAAATGCTGTTGTTAAAATTTAGATAATAAAATGTCTATTTTCTTATTTAAAAAATTAATTATATCTTTATTTTCATATTTTAATGTATTTCTGATTTTGTATAGAAAAGGCTTTTGAGTGGTTACGTTGAAAAATCTGCAGAATATGTCAAATTTTTAAACCGATTAATCGTCCAAATAATCGATTAATCGATAACAAAAAAAGTGTTAATTGCATTTAATTTGCTGATGATGCACTTATCTGCTGCGTCTTTCATTTTCCCCTCTAAAAGAAGCATCAGCGGAGGCCTGTCATTATTAACTGCTCAAAAGCTTTCAACAGAGCCTCACTTCAGAAATCCAACCTGTCCCTTTAAATGAGCCCTCACCTGTGTTCTCAAACGTTCTCCTGTTAGACGGATGAATAATCTGAAGGCAACAAAGGTTTTACAGGCAAGTGAATTTTGTGCAGAGCTTCAAAGTGTCCATAGCCACCATGTTGTTCATGACCAGACGTCGCTCACCTTGTTCATGTTCACAAGGACAAGTGAATGTCAACGACAGTCTTCCCCTGGCTTGTGGTAGTCTACAGCTGCTCCCAGTGTTCTGCGCTTCCCTTTGTCTCGGCGCTAATGTAGCGAGGAGCCAGACGCCTCGCCTCAACAAACAGCTAACATCTGGGTCTGTTTACGTTGAAATGTTGCAGGTAGCTGGAAGTCAGGTGCTGAAGGAGGCGGGGAAGCCTGTCAAGGTTGCAGAAAGCGATGTGGATGTGAGTATGACGATCCATACGCTGGAGCCATTTTAACCGCATAAATAATCTGATTGAAATCCTCTTTAGACAAGTTGTCAGTTTATTGAATTTCTCCACCAACATTTATGGATTTCCAATAGAATTAGAGCAGAATTTATTTTCTCTTCTTCCTTCCTTCTTTCCTTCCTTCCTTGTGGTTTTTACAGTTATTTAAAGCCCAGCCTTGTTAGAAATCTCTGCTGTGAATTCCTACCGACCTTCTGGATCTAAACTGTGGAACTGAATCAAAGGACTGATGTCTTTGTGAATTTAAAAAGAGGTTAAAACATAGAATTTGCAGATTAATTATTTATTGGAGCTATGAATACTTCTGATTAGACATTAGAAGGTAACTAAGTAAAGTGATTTAATGTGATGTGTCTGTAAGTCTAATAAAACATTAAAATAACAGGTCTGATATTCAACAGAGGGCTTCTGGTAAAAAAAAATCTAACCTCTTTGATAGAGAACAAGGACAGTGCCTTGAAATGATGGTTTTGTTTACATCGTGGTCTTTTTCTAAAAAGCAGTAAACGCAGCACTTTGCCCTCCTTCCTCTGCTGCCCATAAACAAGCGGAGATTGAAAGCTGTTGAAAACAACTCAGTTCACTCAGAGTCAGAAGTAACGAAAGGCAGTACAGCTGTCCTCACTAAACCTACTTAAGATGATTTATTTTAGAAATGTTCAATATTTTAAGAAATTTATGTTTTTTTATGTTAAATTATTTATTCAAGCTAAAAATATTCAACAGATTTTCCCTCTACTTTACTGATGTTCGGTCAAGCAGAAAGAGTTTTTCGCATGTTGCAGATGCATCCTTTCCTACAAATGATCTAAAAGAATTCTAATTGGTTTTTATTTTCTGATTTTAAAAAAAGGAATGTATTTGTTCATAAGCAACATGAAGAGGACTCTATTCATCTTTGACTCGGATAATCCAAACAATTTCCCAAACCTTACTTACACTGTTTATGAAAGTTCACATGAAAGAATTCCCATTATACAACTATACCCCAAGAACGGGGGTCACCATGGAGACCACGTGACAATGTGTCAGATTGATGACGTGACCTCAGATCAAGCTCAGTTGAAGATAGCGTTTATTGTTTAGCTGCATTAAAACTTCCATCAGAAGATGGTTTGTTTGAGCCGGTTCTTGTAAAGTGAACATTTCTAACACACCTGCACCAGACAGGTGGAGTTACGACGCAGTAAATATTCACTAATCCACCCATTTCACCCATTAAAAGCGGCTCTTGCGGATCACCGTTGACGCCCTGACCCTCTGTTCTGTATGCAGTCAGCGCAGCTGCAGACACACGGCTTTAATTAAGTAAGAGGGCCACTTCATTATCAGAGGTCGACGCGCAGACACTCTGATTAGCCCTTGAGAGTGACTTAATCTGGGTAAACACCGCATGCCCACCCAGCTCTGCTTCTCCCCCTGCAGGTGAAGTTGAGTCGGTTATGTGAGCAGGACAAGATTCTGAAGGAGCTGGAGGTGAGGATCAGCTCCCTGAAGAACGACAAGGTAACCCATCTCTGGAACGCAACCCCACGATTACGCTGGTAAAAAAAAATATAGAAGAAAGTAGAGGTTTTTTTTCTCTAAATAATGATTTTTTAAGGTTGTTTCGGCTTTAGTGGCCTTTATTTGATAGTGAATTGACAGGAAAGTGGGTAATGAGAGAGAGAAGACATGTGGCAAAGGTCACCAGGCTGGGAATCAAACCTGCAACAGGAAGGACTAAGGCCTCCTTATGTGGGTTATGCTTAACCCCTCCGCCACAACAGCACCCCTAGATAATTTTTTTTTTCTGGTAAAAGGAAGGAAAGCAGCACCAATGTCCAAGAATCATCAAACTTTATTTGGTTTTTATTATTAAATGCCATAAATTAGTCTGAGGAGATGGAATAAGTGACGTTCTGGTGAGATGTTGGCGTGAGTCGGGATGTTTCGTGGTGAAATGCTGCCCTCTAGAGGCGGTTTTAACTCATCACAGTCCAGCTTCTCAACATGTCTCAATCCAACCCTCTGTTAGTAGAACAATGCTCTCCTCAACTCAAATTAGTTTTAAAGAAATGTAAAATATATATATATTTCCTATAGATTTATTTCTACTTTCTCTCTTTTTTGTTTAATTAAACAATGTGAACTATAATAATTTATTATTTGCATGTTTTCAAATAACAAAATGAGCTGCAGACGACTACAGATGAAGGCAACTGCTCCATCAGCCTTTACTTATCCAAAAACAGAATAAATGTCTTTTCTTTTGAGAACTGATGTGTGTAAAGTGTGAAAGTGGACATTTAAATGTCCCCCTATGAAAGCTTATACAAGACACAAGACATGGGCTGCACCAGTATTAAATCATATCAGCCTCATTGAATAAATTAATATTATCAGTCCAACAGTAAAATATTTATCTTTGTCCATCAGGATATCTTTGTTCTTTTTCAGCAACTTTAGATTATTTAGATTACTTAAAAAACTTTAAGTATTTTTTCCTCCCACTCTCCTTTGCTGTTCTTTTTTGTTGTTTGTCTTTTTGGTTTAGCTAATTGGTTATTTTGCAGATCAATGCTTCTGTTTGCTCGTCTGTAATGTTTTGTATGCTTTATTGGTGAATAAAACAACCGATAAAATAACTTGCACTGGCCAACCTTTCACCCGTTGCAGGACAAGTTGGAGAGAGTGCTTGACGTGTCTCACCAGCAGATGGAGCAGTACCAGGAGCAGCCAGCTCACGTCCACAAGATCGCCTACCAGCAGAGGCTGCTGCAGGAGGACCTGGTGACCATCAGGGCCCAGATCTCCCGCGTCTCAACGGTATTCATGTCTGCTGTGTCTGTCACCGTCGACTGATAGTGCTAGACTTGGTGGAAATGATCATATTCAATTTTAGGGATGAAACGATTAATCGGATTAATCATGATTAATTGCAATTAGTTGGATTAATTGAGATTAATCATGATTAATCATGATTGTTAGTCGGATTAATCGTCATCTAATTTGGTAATTAATCGTTACTTGGAGTATCCAGACTCAACACTGGGCAATTTTCTGAAAGCACAATGTTCTCAGAGCAATTAATTAAGACAAAACCGTACGAAAAAAATTTACATATACATTTAAGATGTATAAAAAAAAACCTTCTTTGTAAATGTGTTCTACCCCAAACTCCTGAAGTGTCATAATTTTAGTTTCACCTGGTCCAAATTCTGCAAAAATAATCTCCTATTAAGTGCTTATTATTATCCAAATATTATAAAAGCCAATCATCAGATCAGCCTACGCTGAAGTGATGTGAAGTGAAGCAGGCCTGAACTTTTCTAATGTTGATGTTGGGTTTTTTGCTGTAGATTCAGCCTTTACTACAAATGATTAAGTGTTTACTAAAGAAGTGCTGTTATTGCATTTTAGATTAATAATTTTCTAATTTAAAAAAGGAATTGAATTATTTTTTCATTTGCATCCTTTAATGCATTTCTAATATTGCGTAAAAAAGCTTAAATAAAAAATCTGCAGGATGTGCCAATTTGTTTTATCTGATTAATCGATTACTTGTCATAACAATCAATAGATTAGTCGGTAGCTAAAATAACTTAGTTGCATCCCTATTTCCTTTATACATTTATATGTTAGTAGGTAAAAAAAAATAATATTTTAACTGAAATATTTTAGTTTGTGCACACAAATCTTGCTTCAAATGCTACCAAATGGTTTCAGAGTGTGTGTGTGTGTGTTTGGGTTTTTGCAGGAAATGGCGCGTGCGTGGGAGGAGTACAACCGACTGGAGCAATCAGTGGAGCTGCTAAGGCTGGCACTGCAGGCACACATGGCCCACAACGACACGTCTCAGGTGGGACTTCCTTCTGCCCTTTAAAAAATAAAACCCTCAGCATGTCAGCAGTTCTGAATGTTGCTTCTCCACAACCTTAAAAATGAACAAAAGTTCAAACCACAATACACTGTCTTCAGTTGAATGGCAAAAACAGAGCTTCCACACATTTTAAAAAATAAATAAATAAAAGGTGAAATAAGTAAAAAAAAAAAACATTCTGTGTGTGTTTGCATGTGTTGAAATACAGCAGGAAAAGGCCGAACTGAAGCGGGAGCTGTGGAGGATCGAGGATGTCATGGGTGGTCTTAGCACCAGCAAAGCCAACTACAAGATAACTGTGGACTCTATTCAGAATCCAGGTGAGAATCAGTCTGTTTGCAGACGACATTGTGGTCACTAATGAAAGCTTCTCTAATATTGTGTAGCCCTATTCCTTTCTTTGAGTCCTCTGGTCCTCCTAGAAACTTAGGTCTTAGTTCGGTTGAAGGGAAGTCTGGTGCGGTTCGAATGCTTATGTGAAAGCCAAGCAGATCAGACACTGCTTCAAAAGCAGGAAGTAGACTATAGCGTAAGGCATTTTGGGTAAATACAACCAAAACAAACATAAGTCATGTGATAGCAGGAGATATGGCTCATGGTCTTTTGCCAAAGACAAAAGAGAAATCTTACAGCCACTAAGATCGAACTGTACTCCATTTTTGTTTAGATTTTATGAAGAAGGAAGATGTGCTTAGGTACATATTTTTACGCTACAAATTCAATTGTAGACGTTTGTTTTTCTTAAATCTTAATGATTTGTTTTGTAATGTCTGCCTCTTGGTGCAGTTTTTGGATTTTCTGGTTCTGATTGCTTATTTTTCATCCGATGATTACTTTGATAAGACGTAAACCGACCGTCTGTGATTGGCTGGTCATGTGGTTGATTTTCATACATCTTAAGTTGTGAACACAATTGTTTAAGCATTAAAAACGTAAAGTGCATGTGAGAAACATGCAAAGTATGTCTTTCGGATGTTTTTGCACGTTTTTTGGCCCTCCTGGCATTCAATACCTGAGGAGCATGAGAGTCAGTGTGGAGTGACAGTAAATTAGAGTTTAATACATATTGAGCAAACTTCTGTGAGATTCAGATGCACACACCACAAATTATTGTTTGCTAACATAGATGTATGCGATCACGTCAGTCTCACTGCCCAGTCATATTTGGTTTTTTGAGCAAAACTGGCGGAAAAGTGAGGGTGTATGATACATGAAATTAGCCTCTTTTAATTTAGCGTAGCATAAAAAAGCCATTTTCATCCCACCTTTGTCTAAGCATACAGCCTTCTGTGTTGACACGCCTCAGCAGACAGGAGATTAGTGCCTTCGGTGTCGGACCAGGCGGTGCCTTCTGGCGGCACGGAGGTCCAGCCTCCCCCCCGCAGCTCCATCTCCCACACTTTGCCTCACAGCACCGTGCCAAAGTGGGTGAGTGTCCTTCCTCGCCCCTTGCAAACAGAATACACCACAAACCTCCTCCGCGTGTCTGTAACCGTCCTGATCCGACCACCGTACAGGCAGAGGACGACGCCCCGCCCAGGCCGCCACTGCCTCGTCTCTATGACTACGAGGAGACGCCCCCCGTGGTGCCCCCGCTCCCCAAGGAGGCCTCAGTCATCCGCCACACATCGGTGCGAGGGCTCAAACGCCAGTCGGACGAGAGGAAGCGGGACAGGGAGGGCGGCCAGTACATTGCCAATGGAGACTGTAAGGTATCGTCATTCATTTCTCCTGAAGTGGGGAGCCTTCTACACGTAGATACGATACAGTTAATCTGTGTAGGGTGATAAAAATGTTAGCATCTCAGCCCGTCTTTGATTTCTGTTTCAGACTGATTTGAGGTCATACCTGAGCGAACCAGAGCTGCCAGGAAGCAGCCAGCCAATCACAGCGTCTGAAGCCGACTACCAGTATTACCCAGGCAAAGGTAACATGAGTCACCTTGGAGCAGAAACGACCCAAAGTCTTAATCACTACAAGCAAGAAAAACAACACTTTGACATGTTTTTGAGTGTTTAAGTAGGTGTTATGTCTACATGGAAGAGAAAATGTTCAACAGTATTGGCCATCTCTTAGGCCTAGTCCGAACACACTCGGATATCTGGGAAAATGAATACATTGTTTTGCATTTTTGCCTTTCATCCAAACGGAAACTCAGTTTAATATCTCTCAAAATAAAAAGAGGAGATTTGAGGAAACTCTGTATTTGTGTTTGCGTCTATACATGGAAAAACTGAGAGTTAGGGTCCCGCACATTACAGTCTTCAACACAACTCCAGTCGGCATCATCTTGTGTTTTACTAACTTTACATTCAAATATGTTATTTAAAAGCTGGTCAACCTACATATCTGTTGACACAATTAAACGTCCTGGAGCCATGTTTCACTCCTAACAGGAAGAAGAAATCTAATGGCTGACAGGTTTTAGCTTTGTGCTACACTGCCCCCTATGGGTTTGGCATGTTTAAAACTCAGGGGCGGATTTGTACGCGTTCATGTAGATGAAAACCTTTCTGAAAACGATCCCACATGTACAACATTATTTTTTTAAACGATGTGGTGGAGATATTCATTTTTATAAAGACACAGCTACATGTGAACAAATTGTCCTTAAAGGAAAAGTCTTATGTCTAATGTTTTAAAATGTAAGTATTATTTTTTTGAGGGAGGATTATTGGTGGCTTATAACTGCAAAGTGGAAGGACAATTATACATGTTTTTTCTTTTTTTTTACTTTCTAAAAATAAAGCTGAACTAAACCCATGACTGTTGGTTCTGTCGTTGTCAACTAGGTTTGTTAGGAACCACGTCTCGGCTGGACCAGTCCAACTCCATCTCATCCTACGTCACCTTGAGGAGGGCTCCCGGCAGCGCCGCACCAAAGGTCAGTTTGTTACGACACATGTGGAAAACAAGACGTGAACAGACTTATGTCAGTGTTAGAAGTGGACCCACTCCAAAATTTCTCAACTAAGACAAAACTTGGACGGGAAAAGCAGAAGATCTGACAATTAGAAAGCCAAGAGTTTACAGATGGTGGGTTGATTGGCAAAACCACATAAAACAGAGTTAAAACCATGCAAACTAAGTTGCCTAAGTTTGCTAAAAAAAATATGCAATTCCTAATTTTCACAGATTGTTTCCTTAACTTTCAGCCATTTGATGGAAATCTGCCGGGCTGTATTTAAAAGCATATGGGCCCCTGGGCTGCAGTCACTTTAGGTTCCCTATTTGCCCCCCCAAAAAATATTTTACTCAAGCAAATAACCAAAACACAAACAGAATGAAATTGTATTATTTTTATTGTTTAAATGGATTAGAAATGCCTCCACCTCCTCCCTGAGCTAATGTTACTGTCTGAAGAAACGAACCGCTACCAGCTAAAAACAACCAATCAGAGACAGGCGGAGGGTCTTAGCACGGTCGCTCTACCTCATGTTCTCTGCTAAATGTGCTAGTGACAGAGAAACAACTTACAGGAAAACATTTTATCCGCCAGCATAGGTGGATATGCTAACTAGCCTTAGCATTCATGGCTAGCTGCAGAGCAATAGAGATCAAAGGGGGGAGAAAAAAAGGGCAGCACCACAAAAAGGGTGAGTGGCAGCACTAAGGCCCGCCTCCTGCCTCTGATTGGTTGTTTCCAGTTAGCACTGGGAGAATGAGGTGAGTTAAATTTTTTTCACAGGTTATTTGTCTCATAATAACCAGCTAGGTTATTATGAGACAACCTAGTTGTCAACCTATGAGACAACCTAGCTGTCACCTGTTACAACATGGTGACAGCTTTAACAAAACATATTTTTTTTAGAAGTCGCATACTGCAGCTTTAAGTCTTAAAGTATGGAACTTTGAAATTCAACGTTTTTAGGAAGATTTCCCATTTCTCACCCTGCCCCCTCTCTCCTCCACCGTTGTCTCCTCAGGACCGACCTAAAAGCGCCTTTGAGCGTCTGTCGTCCCCCACGGAGGGCGGCCCGCCCCTCAGCAGCCAAACCCGAGGCCGGATGACCGCCGAGGAGCAGCTGGAGCGCATGAAGCGCCACCAGAGGGCGCTGGTCCGCGAGCGCAAGAGGAACCTGAGCCACGGCGAGCGCTCCGGCGGCGCGGGCCCAGTGGCATCAGGCTCTCAGCGCTCGTCGTCGGCGTCATCCCGACTGCCCTCCAGCCCCTCCGTACGTTACCCCTCCCTGCAGCGCAACAGCAGCAGCAGACACACGGAGCACCGGCTCCACCCTCAGTGCTGCTACAGCACTCTGCAGCCTCCAGCCACATAACAACCTAACAGGGATGCTAACGACTTAGCGCTCTTCCTTGGTAGCAGCTCCCACTAACAAGCCGACTTGCTTTGGTTAACGCTTTATAAACGCCGGGAGACAAATCGATGTGTGGGAAACACTCAGCGACGGACAGAGCCGCTCCGTTTAGTTTTTTTTTTTTTTTTTTTTTTTTAAGCTTCAGGGGTTTAAGATAGCTAAAATACCACTGCCCCCCCGACACCCACCTGTGGGACCTCACTGACGCAACTCTGAATGTAAACATAAAGAAGAGAAAGAAGCATTGCTTTAACTTCTTTTCTCCATTGTAATCACCAGAAAGTAGAGAGAGCCCATATATATATATATATATATATATATATATATATATATATATATATACACACACACATATAATGAGGAAAGATGCAACACTAGTGGCACAAATCATACGACGGCGTATTCGGGCCGTTGTAGATGGACAACAAAAAACGGACAAGTACATTTTCACCAAAAAAATCTTAGAAATTTTTACATTAATCTCGGAAGTTTTCTAGAAAAATTCGTGGGAATTTCTGGAGTTTGAAAAGTCCAAAAAAAATTGTTGTAAAAACTCAGAAAGTTGGAGATTAAAATTTTGAAATCAAACATTCTTGACTTTTGAAGCTTGGAAACTTCCAAGGCTTTTTTTTTCTCAAAATTTTCTGACATTAATCTCAAAAATGTCTGTTTTTCCGAGCAAAGTTTTGACTTTCTGAACTCAGAAATTTCCAAGTTTCCTCGATAACATTTCTGAGTTTAATCTAGAAATTTCTGAGGGTTTTTTTTGGCCAAAGTTAACTCCTCTTTCTTTCCTCCTATTTACTACGGCCCTTGTACGCCGTCGTACAAATCATGATCGCACCTCCCTGCTTTCCTTTCCTTAAATCAAATCCAAGTGCCTTGGTTTGTTGACGATCATTTTTGCCTTTATCCCAAATGTCCGTCTTTAAGACTTCTCAGAGTGGTGTAGGAATGATGGAAGAGCCACCTGTAGGCCTTGTGTTACAAACTCACAGGTCGTAGTCATGGAAACACAGGAAAACTGCTGCATTTTAATCTAGAAACTGGATTAGCTTAAAGCTAACACATCCCCCTCTGGTTTTAATGTGGTATGCTAGCAATGCTAGCATGCTTTAACAGAATTAAATTACTCACACATTTTGGATAACATTAACCGCCAGGCTGGCACCATGGTTACAGACTAACAACCACCAAGTCTGCGGTGAATTGAGCAGAAATTGTTGGGCTTTGCAAAAGTATTCACGCCCTTCGAGCTTTTGCTTGTTTTGTCACATTACAACCGCAAACTTTACTGGTTTTATTGGGATTTTGTGTGACCAACCAACACAAAGCGGTGCGTTGTTGTGAAGCGGACGTAAAAAGGCTCAAGTAAAATCTGAAAAGTGTGGCCTATTTTTTGCAAAATAGTTCAAATTCATTTAGATTAGAATAAAAGTACGTTTTGAAATCAACGTTCATCTTTTCTAATTGAAACCGACAACAATACAGTTGCTTGAAAAACAGTGTGTCTGACACCAACAAAGAAGAAATTAACATTTCAATTTTAGGTTTAGATCAAAAATATGAAATGGGAACACAGGCACCAGGGCTAGAATTTATTTTGATATTTAATTTTTTTTATTTTTTACTAATATTAAGGAAAAAAATATGGATTTTATCTTATTACTATCATTAAATAGTAATTACACAATCATTTTACATTTGGCTATATTTATCTAAAATATTACAATGTTCTTCATTACTAAAAACTAAATATTTTTCTTTTTTTTCATTTAAAAAAATCTTTAATTTCCCTCTGACTTCCCATAATGCACTGCTTTGCGTCGTTCTGTTACATAAAGGTTCCAATAAAACATGCTGAAGTTTCTTTTTGTAACATGTCAAAGGTGTGAAAACTTTTCTAAAGCTCTATAGTTTTTATTACTGTCACAATAAGCAATATATGATTTTTTTATGAGTTGTGCTGTTATTTTTTCACGTCTCTAATGATGTCACCAGAGTATATTTTATTGTGTGCTGTTCTCCACCAGCATTAAACGTTTTTACTTCATTTTGAGCTAACGGCCTAGTTCATACAGCCTTGTCCTGTGTGATGATCTCTTTGCTCATTTTTGTTGTTTGACTCCGTAACAAAAACAGCGACTCATTCCGAGGTTGGATGCTCAGACTGGAGTTTCTTCAAGTGGCCTATACTGTGTTGTTTTATACATTATGAATATGTAGGACTGGTTTAAGGAGCCGGGCTGTTTTGCAATAACGAAATAAAGTGTCACATTTATTGGCACCCCTGGTAAACATGGGTAAAAAATGTTACCGTAAAATAAACTCTTCCTTTTTCTACTTTTTTTTTTTTTTTTTTTTTGCGTTAGTGTTATCTATCATTGAAAGATGCTAATGTTAAACAGAATTAGCATTAGCGGAATTATTGGTGGCATCCAGAGCAGTAACATAGGAGTCCCACTTTGAGCTCACGTCACGGCAAAATAAACTGTCATTTACGTGCAGTACTTTACAGACCACCGGGGGGCGCCCGCGGTCCACAGTTTGAGAAAGACTGATCTAGAAAGAGTTTTTATTTTTTTTTTTATTTTTTTTTTTAAAGACTTCAAATTCTTACTAGCTTCCTGCTGTCCCCACAGTATCGCTGATTGTTTTTTCCCTCCACAAACACACTATGGAACTTTTGTTGCTGACTGCCTCTCTGTTTGTGGAGCAATAAAACTTTTTTCTGACTTTACTCAAAAAACAATTATAGAAGCTAATTTAAATATATATATATCCTTAAGAAGGAAAAAAAATCTCAACATATTTTCCGCCAACTTAGAAAGTAAATAAGTAAAATTTGCACTAACAAAAAAGTTAGTTTGACATAATGTTACTGCAAAAAAGGAAAAAAAAAAATTTTTTTCTTTCCATGTTTACCAGAGCTGCCCATACGAGTGTGAGCAAGGAGTGGACAGCTCTGTCATGAAGAATCTGATTGGTTGGAGGTTGTAGTTTTAACCTGTGTGGAGATATTTGTCATTTTCATCCTGTCTTTTATTGCCCCACTGCTAATTCATGTTCAAAAGTAAAATACATTTATTGTGATGACGTCTAACTTTTATCAACAATTAGACCAAATACATTAACATTTGATTTCTAGAGAATTTGACAGATAAGTCAAAAAGGTATTGCAGCATTTAGACACTTTGGACACTCCTCATCATAGATCTCTAAGGCAAAGACTTTTAAAAAGTTACAGGTTTTGATCGTTTTGGCCCATGTGACAGAGTTTGGACTCTCCTATCTTGGGTTTGTTCCCTAGTGACACTGATGTCCACTCCTTGTTTGCTCAAAGTGTTCCCACCGTAAAATTTTCATCCCCCCGCCCCGCCCCAACACACTACGTCAGATCAAACAGAGCTAGATCCCTAACAGAGGTGACCTGCTGAGCGCCGTTTAATTCTGTGTAATTGAAGAAGCAACGACTCTCTTTCTCCTCTTTCTTTTCTATCATGTAGAGATTTGCACTCAATAAAGAGTTTCTTGCTTCTCAAGCTCCTCCTGCCTGTTTTCTTCTTAATCTGGTGGGGTGGTGGTGGTGGGTGTGTGCATGGTTTTCTCTCTCCTGTGTGTGTAAGTGTGTGTGTTTCCTGTTCCCGAACACATGGAAGGCATGGGATGCAGCGTTACTCTGAGCATGCAAGCGCTCCGACAGATCTGGCTCTGCAGGCTGCAGGAGTGGGAAGGATGCATGCATGGCTTTGATGCTCCTTGGATGATTCCTCACAAGTACCCCTCAGCAACACACAGACACACACACACACACACACACGTGTTAGCGCTCTTCGGTAGGTGTTCTTTGTGTGCGTTTGGACTAGCTGGACGAAACTAGGACATATCTGTGTGCTGACTTCCTCCATTTGGTGTCTTTCAAACATCTTCTGATCCTGCAGGTGTGAGCTTCATTTCTGCTCCCTAAACCTTTACTACTGCATGTCAGCTTCCTTCAGCGCCTCAAAAACAAAATGTTACCAAGTATTTTTGGTCCAGCTCCAAGTTCAAATGTCTTTGTCCACTTGGATTAAAACAAAACTAACTTGCATGTAACTTTTCAGCAAGATATCGAACCTTTTTTAAGTCAATAAATCCTTAATATTGATGAAAAGACAGTAGTTCCGCAAGCAGATTATTTCACTTATAACGACAATTTTCCCATTTTATAAGTGAAGTAATGTGACAGTGGAACTAGTACTTTTTTATCCATATTAAGGACTTATTGACTTTAAATAAGCTCCTATATCTTTCTGAAAAGTTACTTGGGAGTTTTGCCTTATTTCAAGTTTACTAGGATATTCATACTGGAAACTAGACAAACATTGTGCTAAGATCTTGATTTTGCAGTGAAGTCATTTAAAACTTACTCAAACTGGTTTGGATTTCAATTTGAGTAATTAGGAGTTACCTTCTGTGAAATAAAGATACTTTTTTTTGACAATTTGAGTATTTTTCTGCTTCAAAATGTTCTAAAGACATCTAATTTCACCAAAACTGATGTTTTTTTTTTATTTTGTTTTTTTTAGCTCATTTAGTCTAATGAGTTAAAATTACGTTTCGTATCTGTACAAATTAAGACTACCAAACATTTGTTACCTTTATTGACATTTTTGTTCTTTCATGTAAAAAGCTTTATCTAATCAATTAAACCATTCTGAACGGCTTAAACCACCCAGAATTAAGCACATGAAGCTTTAAATAACGGAAGCTCAACATGTTTGTTTTTTCTTTTCTTAACTACAGTCCTGGTGGCTAACCTCGCCTCCTTCCCCTCTCCAGGTGTTCGACTGGCAGCAGGAGCGACCAGGAGCTGAAGGTCAGAGCGACGAAGGCCTGAATCTGGTCAGAGAGAGGGAGACGAGGGACTCTGATGAGTGGATGACGGTCACCGCCAGGCGCGTCCAGGAGGCTGACCTGGAGCCCCTGGACTACGACCTGGACATCAGCCGGGAGGTACAGGAGCAGGGCCAGGAGCAGACGCTTGGGGGGCCAGGCCCCCCAGTAGAAAATAACGGCACCAGTGTATTTTTGACTGCTTAGTTTTTCTCAATCTGACTGCCAGTTTAAACACAATCGCACAATTGTCCCCTAGGTGGAAATCAGTCGAGGACTCAGGGGGTTTATGTTGCATAAGCTGCCAAAACATTTCATGTAAAGAGCTTGAAACTTAGTCTACAGTTTAATAAAACAGCAGGACACTGAAGTTGTTGGACTGAACATATTATTTGTTTAAAATTTGGATTTAAGATAATAAAAAAATGTCTGTGTTGTTACCGTTTATTAAAACAGATTGTTCAAATAAAATAGAGAACAATTCCATGATTTTAAAAATTTGAATTTGTAAACATCGTCTTTTCTCTCTTCTTTTCAACTCCTCTGGGATTCAGGGTCGTAGTTCATGTATTATTACTTCAGCTTTTGAGGCGCTAATCGTAGCAAATGTCCGGAAAAAACAACAACAACAACAAAAAAAAAAACGTAAGAGCATGAACTCCTTCCAGGAGGAGAGAGAATAACTGCCCAGAATTGCAGTGACTCAACAAAAGTAATGATTAACAAACTTTTACAAAAATATCAAACCAGATCTAGTGCAGCATTTCTCTGTGTGTTCGGCAAACATGCAGCTGTCCAAACCGGACAAAGTTGTGATCCCGGAGCGCTACGTGGAGTCAGACCCGGAGGAGCCTCTGAGTCCAGAGGAGCTGGAGGAACGCGGCCGGCGCGCAGAACGTATCAAGAACCTTCTCACCAGGTCCAGGTATCCTCACCTCAGTCTGCAGGGAGAACCCCTCTAATCCAACATGGCTGCATTTCATTAAAACACCTTGTTGATTTCATCCCTGTCCAGTGTCCAGAACATCCAGCCATCAGCATCGCTGGAATTCAACGAGCTGGACAACGCCATGGAGGAGCAGGAGAGGATCATGAGCGTCTCCTACGCGCTGGCCTCAGAGGCTTCACGCAAGAGTAAACTGGTCGCAGGTTAGTTAGTTAGTTACAAATACAAGTGTTTTAAAGGGGCAGTGTTATGGAGAAAAGACTTATTTTTAGCTGTAGGTCATGTTATGTTGTTCTGTCATCAAAAGCATACCTGGAGTGTTGTCTTGATTCTTTCACGCATGTTTAAAAAAATCTTTCAATCTCCATGGCAACCATTCAGCTGTGAAAAACGCCCTGGTGGACCAAGAGATTAGTTTATAAATATCAGTTGCAGAGTATTTTTAATGTGAATTTATGAACGTAAAGAGGAAACATCCAAAGGCAGTAAAAACATTTTAGAACGTTTGGTCGCCTTTAGTATCCAAACTTTTTGAAAAATATGTTTGTTTTTTTTACATATTTGTTAAAGTGTCACTATAACAATCTGACAATATAACATGCCTCCTGTGCTCTTCCTGCCATCTGTGGAAATACACCACTCTATCAGAAACAACCAATCAGAGCGAGGGGGAGTGTCTTAGCACTGACAATCTGTTTGTGTATGTGCTGCACAACCCCCCTCCACCCTGCTGTGCTAATGGTGGAGAAAATAGCTAATCCAGGAAAACCGTTTGTCCTCCGTCATCAGTGCCTATGCTAACCTGCATTAGCATTGGAATTAGCTGACCAAGCTCAGTATTTTATATTAATTAACCATCAGGACATTGTGACAATTTAAACAAATATGTAAAAAAAAAAAA